AAGGACCAAATAAGGGCAAGGAAGGCACATGGGGAGCAAAACACACACAGACATGGAACAGAGTCTGACATTAACGTTAACAGTGAATAAATAGAATGAGATCCACTAATAAATCTTAAGAGTTTCACAAACATGAATCGCAACCTGTACATTTGTAGATTTATTTGTGGATCACGAGTTTTAGTACTGCCCTCAATGTATGGCTATGAAACACATGTGTATGCTAAATTATGCATGAGAGACCATCCTTTATATATTAATCTCTGCACTGTTATGTGCTTCTGTGTTTTGGCCAGTGTTAAAATCTCTGAGCATATGCAGATGCATTAGGAGCAGATGGTGAAACGGAGGCACTTGATACAGTATCTTGTACGAAGAGCAATACAAAGAGAGCAGACAGTACCCAAATTACACACACTGTAAAAAAGGATTTGAGACTTTAGCTTCCTGCTGTCAATTTTGAAATAAAATAAAATACATTGCATGTTCTTAAATGTCCATGCCAATTTTATGTGGTACAGTAGAAAATAGAAACTTGAGTTGTGTGGGCAAATTAACTGTTCAGCCAGTTGAATGAACTAAACATTACTAGTGAGATGAACTATTCTTGAAAAAGTAACCTGGCTGCCTTAAAAATATAAGTTAATTCAACAAGACGCTTAGTTTGACCAATTTGTATTTAGTTTGCACAACTTATACTTACAAGTTTATTCAACAAAATGCTAAGTTTAAACAACTCAACGTTTGTTGGTCTCACTAGTTTTATGTTGTTTCAACTTGAATTTAGGTTAGCACAACTTTCTCGTCTTGTTGGGCTAACTAAAAACTGGTTGGTTAAACAAAGTATAAAGTTAACTCCACTTCACCTTTGTTACCCCAACTATTAATTCTAGGTTTAAGGAACTCCAATATATGTGTAAACAACAAATGTTTTTTAGCTTATTGAACACAACATTTTAAGGCAGCCAGGTTACAAATTATTTTAAGTTGAATCAACTTATTTTTTTTTACAGTGCAGCCGATACCACGCGTTTGTTCTGGAACGAGCCAGAATCCATGAGCTGCTGTGTGAAGTTCAGTTGTTGGAGCCAAGATAAGACTTTACATACCAATGAAACTACTGGAGTGTCACTGGTCTTAAAGGGACAGTTCACCCGAAAATTAACATTCTGTCATCATTTGCTCCCCTCCTGTCGTTACGAACCTCAGGGGCGTTTCCTCCGAGGATGCAAGGGAGGCAGTGTCTCCTCAAAATATTGGATGAGAGAAAAAAAATTGTAGTATAAAACAGCGACACCAGCAGGTAAAGTTACAGCGGGAGTCCGTGTCTCTCTCGCCTCCCCTGAGCCCATTGAGTTTTAACAGACCCCCTAAAGCACCAAACTCGGTCTTGGAGGGCTGGTGTCCTGCAGAGTTTAGCTCCAACTTGCCTCAACACACCTGCCTGGAAGTTTCAAGTAAGAGCTTGATTAGCTGCTTCAGGTGTGTTTGATTAGGGTTGGAGCTAAACTCTGCAGGACACCGGCCCTCAGGACTGAGTTTGGTGACCCCTGCCCTAAAGCGTGCGGTGGCTTTGGTGGGGGGTAATTGAAAATGAATGGGGGAAAGTCACTTGAGAGGAGGCAATGCCTCCATCGCGATATGATTGGATATGACTGCTTATGTTCTACTGTGATTGGTTCAACAAATCCCGCCTCTTGTGTTCTTGCGCTTTCCGGGTTTGCAAATGATTTGATGACTGCTCATCCAATAAGTTTGCAAATAAAATGTATTGTTTAAATTGTTACTGCCTTGAATTATTGTTTAGGAATGAATGTAAAATGCTTAAAAACACTAACTTGATGAGATTCATACTTGGCTTAAAATAGAATAAATAGAATATTGATTACATTTTACAATGTAAAAATATTTAAAAAAAAATTTCTGATAGTGTAAGTAATGTATATTTAACAAAGAAAATTTGTCTGGGACATGAATTTACGTTTGATAAAAAAAAAATAAAAAAAAACATTTCAGAACACCACTGCTATTATTTATTGTGGAAAAAATACAATAATAAGAGTTCATAGTGACCACACTTGAAACTCCAAAAGGATCATAATGCAAATAATTAAGTAATTAAAAGGTAATAAAAAGTAATTAAAATTATAAAAAAATAATCATTATTATTACAATACTACTACTAATACTAATACTACTACTAATAATAATAATAACAATATTTATTACATTTAATAAATAATAATAGTAAAAAGTTTTCCATAAGACTTTTCTTTAGTTATTGTCTATTATATTCCAAGTCTTCTGAAGAAATACTACCATTCAAAAGGTGTGGTTGAAAAATCTCTTCTGCTCACCAAGGCTTCATTTATTTGATAAAAATACAGAAATAAAAAACAGTAAATATTGTGTAATATTATTACAATGTAAAATAACTTTTGTATTTGAATATCTGTTTAACTGTAATTTATTTCTGTGATCAAAGCTGTATTTTCAGGATCATTACTCCAGTCTTCAGTGTCACATAATCTTCAGAAATCATTCTAATATGCTGATTTGCTGCTCAAGAAACATTTCTGATTATTATCAGTGTTGAAATCAGTTGAGCTGCCAAATATTTTTGAGGAAACCATAATCCATTTCAAGATGATTTGATTAATAGAAAGTTCAAAAGAACAGCATTTATGTGAAATTGAAATCTTTAGTAACATTATAAATGTCTTTATTGCCACTTTTGATCAATTTAATGTGTTCCTGCTGAACTAATTTCTTAAACAATAATAATAATAATAGTACAAGATAGTACATGATTCATAAGACCAAATTTTAGACCAAACCTACAATGTCTTATATTCCTAACTTCCTATTACAAAAGAAAAACCATAGTCGCCACAAGGTCCTCAACAATCAGACACAGAGAAAGAATAAGAGCGACTGCCAATATTCCTTTATACTAATTAAAACTAAGGACTCCAGGTGCTGCCTGCAATCAACATAACGAAGAGCCAGGCAGCATGTTTGTGTTGGTGGTTTGCCTTGATTAAAGTCTTCATCCATTCTGCTTAGGAATCTCAAGCATATTGAATAACGCTGCTGGATGTATGTTGAAAAAGCTGTCGAGATTTGAGAGGCCACTTTAGAAACACAACAGCAGCTTAATGTGTCTGCATCCACAGTGTCTGTTATCAAATCTAGTCAGACGCCTATGTTTTAATGTCCTTGTGATGCAAAGGCTGGCTAAATACTTTATCAGATGTATATTTCACAAAAAACTGCAACAAGCTCAAACAAAGAGAGAGAAGCAATAAATGTCATTAAATGTCAAAGATATTGATGAAAAGTCTAATTAAAAGTTGCCAATATCAATAGCTGTGTGTACCTTGTGTGTGTTTAATTAACATTTAAAGATAAAAATAATTAAATACAAATTTAAAAATTAATATTAGCATTTAATTAAAAAGTAAAAACAAAAATATTTACATTGTCTATTCATTTTTGTTATCATTAATAACATTAATAATTTTTATAAATTTCTTTGGAATGACTTACATGTAGCACATATGTATAATATAAAAAAGTGTTTAATCAGGTGTGTGTGTGTGTGTCAATATATAAAATAAAATGTTTCATTATTAATAATAATATTAATTAATATTATTTCTTATACTTGATATGTGTGTATGCATATGTAAAATATAGAAAAAAGTTCTTAATTAGAATTTGAATTAATAATTAACTTTAAAAGGTACTATTAATAATATTTCTTATACCCAGCCACCTTCACACACACACACTTATAATAAAAAATAATATTAATAACTATTTCTATTAATATTCCATTTTAATTAAGTGTTAAAAACCTAATAAATAAGAAATCAAAACCTAATAATTAAACATTAATATTATATTATATATAATAACAGTATTAGCTATATGATGATGATAATATTAATGCTGTAGGCTCTGATAGTCTCTGAGGTGCATAAACAGCATTTCTGCCTGATATCTGTGTGTGTGTGTGTGTGTGTGTGTGTGTTTAGGGCCCCCTAGAGATTCACCACTGACTGACCTTAAATAACAACACAGTTCAAATGTTAAATCATTTTATTACAAATATCCAAAAGCTTTCCATTTACTAAACAATCATTGTACATATAGGCATAAAAATATATACATGTATAAAATATACAAAATCATGAAAGCGTTAACAAAAGTAGGTGAGTTCTCATATTGTTAAATTTCAGTAGCTGCAACTTTTACAAAGCAGTATATGTGAGGAGACACAGCCTGCATTTATACCCGTTTCAAACAACATGGTGCGACAGGGAAAATCATTTCAGCAGGGGTTTGGAAGACAAAAGTCCAAATAAGTTAATGTTTCAAAGAAACTCTTTTCCTGAGCACATGGGACTCGGTAAAACGCCCGCAGGATCAGAATTTGCAGCAGTATCCACAGCCTTTGTTGCGGCAGCAGTTGCAGCAGTATCTGCACAGGGACAGATGGCTTTGCCGTTTAACCCTGAAGAATGCCTATTGGGGAACAAGAAATTACATTTTATTTAGGGCCTCCTAAAAACATTCAATTACAATTTAAACAACAACAACAACAAAATATTAATTAAATCCATTGATTATTAATATTATTAATTAATATACATTTTTATAGATTTTTAGAATGAGCCACATGTAGGATATATAAAGTGTTTGATTAAATAAAAATGTAAAAATAAAACAATAACTACAAATAATTAATGATAAAAATAATAATATATAATTAATAATACATAATCATTCTTTGATATGAAAGTGTGTGTGTGTGTGTGTGTGTGTGTGTGTGTGTGTGTGTGTGTGTGTATAATAATAAAAAAATAGAAGAGTGTTTAATTAAATTACATTTTTTTTAAAACAATCTAAAATAAACAAATCTGAGCTGGATACATACCAAAGGATTTGTTTGTTCCTGTGGTGTTTCACTCTCCACATGATGCTCATCTTCAGTCTGCTGATGAAATACAGAAGGCAAGACTTTAAAATAGGTGGTATGTTTTTCATTTAGTCATTAGTGACATTATATAATGCTAAGCGGATTACGTCAAAATTGCAGTTTCATGCAAATATAACGCAATGAATAAATAATATTACTGGTGGTTCTGACTTCTGAGTGTAAATTTTCAGCGCAGACGCTCACCTGTGTGAAGGGAATAGCTGCGGTCTGGAGGATGCAGACGCATGCGATGACGACTGCAGCAGCGAGAGCCACACGTGTCAACTTCATTTTCACTTCTGCAACGCTGACGGTAGTCCTTCTCTTGAGGAGCTGATGTAGAGGATGATATCTGCTGAAGTGATTCCTCTGTTGCTCTTTTAGGTTTACTCTTTCTTCTGCTCATGCTCTGATATTTATATTGAGCTCAGAGAGCGTCGTTTTTCCCCTTTGACCTGCGTGACTCTTCCCATCAGCTCTTACTCAACTCTGGAAACTCTCAACAGCTTCACATGTGGAAATTACATCAAATGTCCAGCATGGAGATGAATGAATGAATGAATGAATGACTGAGTGAATCAATCAATCAATCAATCAAAGAAAGAATTAGTTTTGATTACCAATAAGCATTGCACTAATAAATCGATTCCCATGTTAGTTTACCTGAACTCTGTAGCAAAAGAAAGAGCCCCGATACTGATAAAATATCAGTTTTAAATGATAAATTGGCAAAAGTTATGTTTCTAATGACATTATATTTTCCTTCTACTCCTAAATCAATAGAATCCATTGGTTGTCCATTAAAGTATAATATACAGCAAGGCCTTTAAAAACAAACAAACAAGATGAACATCAATGCCATCAGTCTTCAGTTTTCTGTTTTCTTATCATATAGATTGATATTTTTGCTTTCCCAGAAGAAATTATATGCTTTTTCATTATATAACACCCCCCCCACCAAAAAAAGGGGGGACATTTTTTTTATATATATATATATATATTTATATATAAGGAATCAGTATTTTGCCTCTCATGTGTTACAAACAAAGAAGAAAAAAAACTAAACGAAAGAAAAGATCAAACTAAACAAAAGAAAGATGAATTATTAAATAAAATTATTGGTAAAACTTAACTTAAATATATAATATTATAAAATTAAATATTTGCTTAAAGGCTCATTGGTTTAAGGCACATCTAAACAGAAATATGAATAAATAAAGAATAAATAAATAATGTTAAATATAAAAATAAAATAGAAAATAAAATACATTTGAATACATTTTTTAAATAAATAATAAATTCAATAATTAAATAAATAGAAAAAACTGCTACATAATTTAATGTATTGTAATGTGTTTTAACAGTAACAAATTCTCTTTCCTTGTAATGTTCATGTTAGAAAATGTAACCTATATTCTTTGTGTTTGTGCTGTTTCCAGGGAGATCGTCATGCTTCCTGCTTATGTGGCACTGTCTTTTGTAAAGCTGATATTTATTATGAAAAATGCTCTACAAATAAATTTGAATTGAATTGAATTGAAAACGTTTAATATTCTAATAATTGCCAGAGGGGGAACAAATCAATGCTGTTAACTGAATTTACTGAAGTAAATTTGCTAGATAGGACATAAATAGATATAAACAGTAGTAGAAGTCTATTATCATGTTAGAAAACCTCAAACTTGACCTTTTTTGTGGTTATAGGACAACAAAGAGGGAAATTGCATGGCAAAGTGTGACACACAGTAACGCATCAGGAATATCTGTGAGTAACTGAATGAGAAACACACTATAATAACTGTGAATAAACTCACTGTAACTGTACAGCATCATGTATGCTGATATATAAATGAATAACAGATTGCCTCGTTCTCACACGATTCATGAGGTGTGCAAGCATCAGATAACCTTCTGCCAGAGCGTCTGTCAATAATGTCAATAAATATGAACCAGAACGGCCTCATGACGGACATCAATAATGATTTCAATTATTGTTCTGAAGAATTTAAAGTGCAGATGAAATCGCCATAAAACAGAGACCAGACCATCTGCGTCTTGAAATCAATTTTTTTGCTAAAGACAAAATTTCCATTAAATAAAGGACAAGTCTAGGCCACATTTTGGGGAATAATGATTTAAAATTATGCTTGAATTAAGTAGTAATGCACTTTGTGGGTGATAAATTTGCCTCTTGCTTTTTTTTCCACAGTAAATGCTCTTTATATAATCTATGATCACTGGCATCATGAAATGCATTGCAATGAGAATTCCCTATTTTTTTATTCTTTTTTTTTTTTTTTTGCTTTATTACTTTTGTACAATGACAAATAAAAGCCAGCTATTTAATTATAATCACCTGTACTATTTTTCTAACTATATAAATTGTATATATTTTATTCATTTTAGTTTTTTTTTTTACAATTACATTTTTATTCATTATATTATATATTATATTTTTATGAAAAACGATTCTAAAAATGAATTTGAATTGTATTGGAAATGTTGAATGCTCTATGTTAAATGTGTGTGTTTATCAATATTTTGAATTCGTTTTTATTTTTATATTTTGGGATTTATATATTTATTTAGTTTTAGTCATTTAGTTATGGATTTCAGTCATTTTTTAAAGTTTTTTTATATATATATGTCTATACAACTGTTTATTCCTTATTTCAGGTTTAGTTTTTTTAGTACAATAAGTTTTTAAGATAAAATAAGATTTAAGATAACAAAAATGGTATGTTTATAGTTGCTAAATTTGATTCATTTACGTGAACCAGTGTCTTTTTCAAAACTCTGATTCATTATTAGTTTGCATCATCACTCAAAAACAGGTCTGTGTAGCACAAGCTGTGGTGATCGTGTTTGCTGTATTTAACGGGCGAGCAGTCTTTCTCAAGAGCTGCAGGGACACATTAGTGCGTTTGTTGGAGAGCGACGCCAGTGCTATCAGCCGGGATCTTCTGGTCAAACAGACGCAGACACTGCTGTCAACCTGACAGGCGCCACAGCCCGTCTCTCTCGCTCTGTCCCGGGCCGATGACCCCTCTCCTCCTCTCTTACCTGCACGGATCCTGCCTCTGTCAGGAATTCATCCACTCACACTTTCCCAAACACACAAATCACCACCAAAACATGGCGATCGATATCCAGCCTTCACAAAAAGCCTAATGAAAGCAGGTGAAAACGTGACATAAGAGAGCAGAGAAAACAACCCATCAACAACTCTGATTCAACCTAGTGAGCTACTGCAGGAACAGAAGCTGTTAGAAAGCTGGTTTGATGGTCATAGATGATTTTAGCTGGTCTAGCTGGTGTTTTGCTGGTTTTAAACCGCTGTACTGTGAGCAAATCCCATCTAAAACCATCAAAACATAGCAACTTGATGCTGTTTTCTTTAGCAATATAAGCAGCTGCATTCATAGGCAGCATCACAACTGAAATGTGCTCGAAAGTGAGCCATTTTTGGTTGGATTTATGTAATTTTGATACGTGTTATTTTGTATGCTATTCTTGTTAAAAACTAATAAACATTAAAAAAAAAAACATAAACATTCATTTTTTTCTGTTTTCTAAAGATTTAGCAATTTTGTTTTTGTGCATAAATATGCATTTATGTTACTTTGTATATTATAAAACTGAAGCATGCATTTTTAATTTGAATTAAAAGATGATCACCCAAGAAAACTAAGCTATTTGAAATGCAAAAGATTTGATTAAAAAAACTATTGATTTGAATAGGTTTTGATGTTAGCATGTTGTTTAGCAAACAATGAGATAAAAACTGGGTAAAAAAATATATATTTATACCATCCTTTTGAACGCGATTTTTAAAGAGCTTGGTGCAATGCATTCTGGGATTGTCTCTGTAATTAAGAACCGTGATGCTGCCTTAGAATTTAGCATGACATTTTTTTTTTTTTAATCTTAGAAGGCAATAAATATGCTGCTTACCTTTTAAAAAAAAGTTAGAAAAGTACAAAATACTGTGCTGAGTTTGATGGATGTAGCTTTAAAGCTGAAAAGTCCAATTAAATTAAATAAAAAATAAAATAACGTAAAAAGTAAAATACAAATAAAAACATATCATAAGGAAATAAGTAATGTCATAAGTAAGGAAACATTATTTCTTATATATATATATATATATATATATATATAAA